GTTGATTGATTGATTGATTGATTGATTGGTTAGGGTCATCATCTATGGCATCAGCATGTGCTGGAAGTTTAGCAATGATGGATGCAGGTAATATTATTTAGCAAGATATTAACCCATTTATTCATTAATAGGCTGACTCTGTCACTATATATGTCATCACCCAATGCAAATCCTGTAGGGAAAAGAACTTTTGTTTCTAAGAATTGAACTGTGAAATAAAAATGTAACAAAGAATGAAGCTTATTCCCAGGTGGTTTTAATTTGGTGGAAACATAGCTAACTAAGTATATTCATTTAGCAGTATTTACAGTATTTACTAATTCATCCTTCTTACCATCTCTTCATTCATCTATTTTCTCTTTTATTCATTCATTGATCACTTCCTTCCATTTACACTTTCACTCATTCATTATTAATTTTTGTCATTTAAATTTTCATCCAAATGTGTTCTGTAGGTGTTCAAACTCAAAAACATGTTGCTGGAACAGCATGTGGACTCATAACTAGTAAAGATGCAAATGATCCTGATAAAACTGACATTGATGAATATCAAATACTCACAGATATTTTGGTGGGTACCCTGTGCTCATCTTTCTGATACAGCCTAAAGGCTCAAAATCATGTTTATTTGCAAGCCACTCTTTTTGCATTCAAKCAAAGAGTAATGTTTACTTAATCTGTGATTTATGTATACAACACTAAATACGTTAAAATTCTTGGAGAAATTGCAGTAAAAATAAATTTCGAGGTAAATGGGACACACTGATCATGCACGAATCACTTTACGAAGCACTCTCTTCATCCCACATTGAATACACATAAAGTAAAGTAGAAGCGCTATTGGCTGTTAACTGCAATCGGTTGACATCCTTTATTTGTCAATGATCAGGTATCAAACCTGAGACCTTTGCTAGGGTCATGGACCTTTATATCTGATAAAGGTCACACTTATAAGTATTCTTTATATAAAGAATACTAATATGGAGTGTTTTATCAGATATAAAAGTCCATGCATGTGACCAAATAGGCTCATTCCTAATAACCTAGCCTAATAACTTTTGAATGTTTTGTGAATGCTGGAGCATAAACAAGGCACATTTCTTACTAAAATTCAATGGATGAAACAGCTCAAAATGATGAAACAGACCAGCTTAAAAACTCTTAAAACCTAAAAAACTAGGTGTAACAGAAGTTCAATTGCAAGTATATGWATTCAAAAGTAGAATTATTTTGTCATCGACAGGGCATTGAAGATTACTTGGGTGATATGGATTTTAAAATAGCAGGGACACGTGATGGAATTACAGCTCTACAAGTAAGTGAGAAATAAWMRTTTGATATTTTACATTCAAGTAATTGCTTAAATTAAATTGTTGTTATCTKTTTTTTAGGCAGACTTTAAAATCCCTGGTCTTCCACTACATGTTATTGAAGAAATTCTCCAACAGAGCTCTGGTTAGTGTTCAAGTGTACTTTAGATAAAAATGTTTAATATGACAACAATGATGGTAGTAGTGGTGATGATGATAATGATGATTACTGTGACGATGACGATGATGATGATGAAGGTAGTGATCGATGTCTGATTCAGTTTATGATTMTTYTGAACTAATCTTTTGCTGGGATATTATACACACWCAAGCTCTTACCACCAAGACCACCAGCTTCTCAAAAYTATCATAGATTCTAACTTTTGTTTCTGAGAAAAAAACTTGGAGAAGCTTAGCTCTCAAAAGAATGTATTACCTGAACTATTCTTCATTATCTTATGGTATATTGTTCATAGAGGATAGAAACAAAGTATTGGATATAATGGAGAAAGTAATCAATGGAGCAAGGGATAAAGACAAAAACTGCCCAATAACAGGTATGCTGCAGCCTTAACATGTTTCAAAGACTATCTATCTATGAATGGTCCAAAAAAAATGACTGGCTGAAATGGTAAAACTTGGAAGAATGATAGWAAGAAATGCAAAGAAAGTGAGGAGACTGTTCCCCTGTGAACTGTGAACCCATCTCCATAGKAACTGCCTTTTTTATTGTTTCATTAGAAATTTCCTTTTCAATTCTCAACATTTTCCATGCATGGATCTTTAGGAGTTTTTGCAGTACCTGCATCAAAACGTAAACAATTGATTGGTCCTGGTGGTTCAGTCATCAAGGGACTGGAGAAAGACTTTGGTAAGTGTGTATTATTCATTATTGTCATAAAGACTGTAGACCTATAACACCCAAACAATATCAGAAACAAAGCAATTTTACACTTTTGCAATTCAGCAGAAGTCAATGCGTGACAGACCACTGACATTAACCATGAAGACTTAGGACTCACAATTGCTGCCAAACCATTCTATACTTTGAGATCATGTTCTATTTAAAGTTATTCAAGCTTAATCAGTAGTTTTCTGACAATAACAATTTAAACAACAATTCTATATGTTGATATATTAAGTTAGTGGACAAAATGTCTTCAATGGATTTTAATATGATCACTTTCTTTCAGGAATCAGTCTAACTCAATTAGATAATGAGGAATATGCAATATATGCACCTGATCAATATTCCTATGATTTGGCAATGACCGAAATTAAACAACTTATAAAGGATAAATTAAGTGGATTGGAGGTAAGTTTAACACCGTAAAAAGTAGGAGAAGTAACTTACTGACGTTTTTGATGTTAATCCTTCGTTGGAGTGATGATTGTGTGATTAAACTTAGTCTTTTGTTTTTCTTTACAGATACTAACATCAAAACTGGAAAAAGGTTCAATTTATGAGGGAAAAATCACAAGATTAATGTAATGACAAGTCTTATTCTTTATTTAGTATTGACAATTCATATAATTAGCTACACACAGTATATAGTAAAGAAATAACAAAAAAGTAAATGCTAGCCTCCTCCGAAGGCATCACAAAGAATCACGAGCTTCCTGTCTTTTTTGGAGTCAAAAGAGGGAGAATGGGGCAGAGAGAAGGAATCGTGTTCTTATTTTTCCTCTCTCGTCACTAGTCTTGGCCATTATGACCATTACAAAGGAAGCCCAAAGGAGGAAGAAAGAGTTGCCTGGGGAGGAGGCTAAGTAAATGCATGTTTGACSACTACAATTACCATAGTCACTGATGGAGGGGAGGCATATCAAGGATTTTTCTCCAGGGGGCTGTTTAAGCGATTATAAGGACGAGGGTTTACAATAGACATTTATGTGGGTAAAGGCTGCATTTGCCTTCATCCTGAATCCACCTTTTCATGTTCCMATACCTAATGCTAGCACCTTCACTCTGGCTAGTTTGACTGTGAGAACATAATATTATATAATATGTGTGATTGCTAACTCTTATACATTTTTGGAAACTCCTGTTTGCATGTCATCCCCAATGGAATGAAATAGTCGATATTATCAAAGGCCATTTTGATTCATTCATATTGTTCTGTATAKTGCTTTTGCAGGCAATTTGGTGTAATTGTTAAAGTGTTTGATGACTGTCCTGATCTTCTTCTTCATTCCAAAGAACTTGATCACAACCGGGTAATAATTTTATAACTATCTTAGGTTTTTACTCCATGTTTCCTTTACTTCACTTTTATTGTCTTTCATATTATGTTGTGTATATTTTTTTAGGCTCCCCCAGAAGAAATTGGATTTTCAGTAGGAGATACAGTAAAATTCAAATACTTGGGATTAGACAAGAAAAACAGGATCSTTGCTTCGAGAAAAGTTCTTCTTCCTCCATCTCCAATTCGAAGTCGTTCACCTGTAAATAAACCATATAATGCAAAGAAAGTTAGACCATCATATGGATGGGATGATTGATTGATTGACATTTTGCTTGCATTCATTCTTATCTTTGTTTTCCATTAAAATTCTTCAATCTTGATAGGTATTCAAATTTGTCAGCTTTTATAAGGATATTTTTAAAACCTGTTGTAAACATTTTGACAGTAAGTATAGGGAGAAGTTCAATCTGAATACAGAATACAGGGAATYCAGTTAAATACAGGTGAATATAGGGAATATATGTGAATACAGTGAATACAGACGGATACAGGGAGTACAGGTGTATACAGGGAATGCAGATTAATATAGGGAATATATGTGAATACAGGTAAATGCAGATGAATATAGTGAATATATGTGAATACTGGTGAATACAGGAAATACAGATGAACATAGGGAATATATGTGAATACAGAGAATACAGGTGGATACAGGGAATACAGATGAATATAGGGAATATATGAATACAGACGGATACAGGGAGTACAGGTGGATACAGGGAATACAGATGAATGTAGGGAATATATGAATACAGATGAATACAAGGAATACAGGCAAATACAGGTGAATACAGGGAATGCAGATGAATATAGGAAATGTATATGTGAATAAAGTGAATACATATGAATACGGGAAATACATAGCATGAATAAAATACAGATGAATTAAAAATACAGTAAGTACACTTGATTACAGGGAATACAGATGAGTATATATTCAGTAAATACAGATGAATAAAATACAGATGAATACTGACAGAGGAATACAGTAAATACACAGAATGCATACAAATATCATCCAGCGTTTGTAGAAACCGGATGTACGCAGGTACTTTATCATGTATGTGTACCCAGTACCGTACCCATGGAGCGGTAACTTGGGTTCCCTGTGTTAAAAACTCGTGACATGAAGTACAAAAGACACGAAATCAAAGATGGCGTCCGATAATGATGTGTTSTCGTACTCTGTTGGGCAAATTTCCCAACTATTATCCGCATCCCATAAAAGAAAAAATAGCAGCAAAGAGAATAGTACTCTTCAAAGTTTATTTTGTGCAAGCTCTAGCGAACAACCTGTTTTTATTCAAGTAAAAGGCAAGGTAGGTTTGTCGGCGTGGTCCAACATTCTGCCCAACGCTGCCGAAGTGATCACAAATATTCACACCAAAGTATTGTAAAACATAGCGCAAAGCATTTTTGATTTTTTTTTTGCGGTGTACTGGCAATATTTTGATTTAATGGTCCTGTTTAGCAGTTTTTGTACAAAAGAAAATCAACAAAATGTCGATTTCATTTGTAAATGGGCTTCCTGTGTATTTGTTTACTTCTAATGAGATGCATAAAGACAACAACAGAATCATTTGCATGAAAAGGTTTTTTTAATSKCCAAGAAGGACTTAAAACTCCAGRTCWTGCTTGCAAGTCAAATGTTTGTCTTAAAATTTTGGAACTTGATGTTGAACAATCAAAAAAAACAATTAATGAGATATGCAAATGACAATTGTCTTTTACATTTTTATAACTGAGCAGATCATCATTAATCTGTATGAGTGTGGTTTAGACAAGTAYTTTTTTGAATATTTTCATTATATTTCAAAACACAGAAAAAGAAAGTGGACTCTATAACTGATGAAAGGACAAAGTCAAAAAAGAGGAAAATTGTAAAAGTTTTAGAAGGTAATAATTCATTCTTGTTTTTTTTTTCTTTTTGTGTGTGTGAATGGATTATACAGATAACATCCACAGCAAACACGAATTTAAAATAAGACTTTGAGTACCAGATTCTGCACAGTGGTACTGCAAAATGAGGGGGGAGGGGGTGGGGAGGAATGGTAATTCTAAATTGAAGTACTTTCAGTTAAGYTTCAAAGCTGTTGTTGGGCTTTTGAACTAGTAAAACAAGTAAAGACTCCTTCTAGATTGATYGATAACAATTTATCAATGATCAACACAACTGTATCTTCAAAAATCAAAGTTTTCATTACCATTTTATCCATTCATTCCTTGTTCAACAAGATCAAGAAGAGTTAACATTTTTTTTTCATTGCTACATTTAGATGAAAAAGACACTCTTTCTGATAATGATACTGAAATTAACACTGGAAAAAGGGTAAAATTYAAGCAGAAAAAGTTCCAAGAAGAACCAGAGAGACTTGACAGAACAATATTTATTGGGAATATTCCTGTAACACTTAAAAAGAAGGTAAAATTAAAAGTTTTGGTCATATTTTTTGTTGATTTAGAGAGGATCCAAAATCTATCAAAAGAATATTTATAAGTAGCTACTGGATTAGTTTCACACTCCAGTGGTGGATCCAGGGGGGTTCCATGGGTTCCTAGGCACCCCCCTCAAGCATTAAAAAAAATAAATGATAAATGAAATAAAATAAAAACACATCGTACAATTAATTTTTATTAAATACATTCACGCTACATATGCTACAGTTTGAGGTACAGTAAAAAAGTTCATTTTAGAAAAATACGAAAACAAAGTGGAACCCCCCTTTGAATATCCTGAATCCGCCACTGCACTCTACATTTTTTGTTAATCATGTTAGTATTAATTTGCAGGCATTAAAAAAATTATTTGARAAATATGGAGAAGTGGAAAGTGTCAGATTTCGTTCAGCAGTAAGTATACACCATCTTGAATTTTTTTGTATTTGCTAGTAGTGATGCAATGAAAAATTGAAATGATAATGTATACATGTACTTCAATTCTTTTAAGCATCAATCATACCAACTTGAAAGTTATATTATAGGCAAATTTCCATTTTTCACAGTATAGATTCAAAAAGAATTAGAAAAACTCAACTTTTATACTAGGAAAAAGAAATAATCGAAAAAATAATAAATTAAAAAGTTAATAATCTTTTGAAAATTATATGTACCCTATACATTAAGAGAATAAATATTGATATTATGATTTAGATTACTTTATTTGCAGTTTAATTTATCGAGACAGCTGTCTAATTAACATAATAGAAAAAGGTGACATGACAACAATYAATAATTAATCTTCTCTCAAAAACTGTTTTGGTTACAAAATCTAGTTCCATTAAACAAAAACTTTTAGCTTGGTTGACATTCAATTTTATTTAAGAAGTTTATTTTAAAATATTCYAGTTTATAAACCATGGAAATGAAAAGAAAAAATTCAAAAGGTCCCATTGATTCTGGTGCTGTCTCAAGTCTGATTCAGCAAGCTTCAGCGGAMAAATTACTGTCACTAGATCTAAGCTACTTAAATTTAACTGAAATACCTTCAACTTTACTTTGTCTTAACCATTTGGAACATTTGTATTTGAGAGGAAATGCAATTGAAGTTTTACCAGAGGATTTTTTTATCAAACTAAGAGGGTTACWATGGCTTGATCTGAGGTGCAACAGACTTCAAAATCTTCCWAGTTCWGTAGGGCAGCATAAGCACTTGAAGAATCTTCTACTGGGTGATAATAGACTTGAGTACATCCCTGCAGAACTTGCACTGGTTGCGACACTCTCAGGYCTGAATCTTGTCAATAATCCTTTAGTTGATCCACCACAGCACATCATTGGAAAGGGAATTCATGAAATTAAGAAATACTTTTTTAGCAAACTTGAAATAAAGGACACTTCAAAGAAACTGGATCTTGAATCTGATGATGAAACAAGTCACTGTGATAATAAGYCAGCTCCAAAGGTAGTGGAACCACGTAAAGTCASTCTTAAAGAGAAATGGCAAAATTCTAGCATGGAGTATTCAAGGTCTTACAGCGAGGAAGGATTGACAAGACCAAGAGATGCTAGTAGTCCAAACTGTTACTCCTCTCCGCTGCACAGCTATGATTTAACATGTAGTATCAATGGACCCCACTCGGATTCAGGGACACCATGTTGGTTCATACACAGACCATGGACTACGGGGGTTTTCTTCACCAGAAGCAAGAATCATGAGACATTGTAACTCCACTTCTTTCCAGTTATTTTCCATTTAGAATTGACCACCATAGCATCAGACAATTACTACAGTAATTAAAGACTTGCTATGCAAGGATATTCCAAACCAAATCTCAAGAAAAATGATCATGAAGAGAAACATTTATGAATTTATGTAAATAATACTCAAAATACATTTCCTTTTCTCTGGGGGGTAGGGTGGGGGTGGGAATGTGACAGGGCAAAAGAATAAAGGAGGTCTTTCTCCTATTTCTCCTCTTTTTTTTCTCCCTTGTCTTCTTGAATCTTAAGACTATTTCTGAAATTTTACAGGACATAATTCAGTTTGAAAAAACCCAGGGGCCAGTGATGTTCATGTGGCAAGGGTAGAAGAAGTTATCAATTCCATAGACTTTGCATGAATTTCATACGCTGGATAAGTTTATATCTGGTGGATAGTTATATTTGTCCTTAGTTAAACAGGAAATTATATATTATCTGTACTGTAATGAAATATTGCAGGTAATATTGATTACTCATTATATAAAAAAAGTAAAAACATGATATGTGCAAATTACTTTGTTGTCATTGTCGTCGTTAGTTTTTGCAGCTGGGAAATGTTCATTAATTTTGTGGTATAAAAATAATGTAGAATTCTGATGATAATTATATATTAGTTGCAAAGTAATAATAATCAGAGGAGACTTTTTCTATTACTGGCTGGCTCATTAATTCATCATCCAGACGTGTCTCAACAGTAGGCACAACTAATGTCATTCAAATGACTTTTTCAGGCACTTGCAAAYCCAACAATGTCAAGAACTGTTGGAATGAAAAGGTACAAAAATTACCATTTTTCTCTCTCCCCACATAAAGCTAACAGTATATTTGCGTATGATAAGACTTAGTAGTGTCTTACTAAAAAATGCAAATCATTTATTTACATATACATTTTTGTYTCAGGAAGGAATATCATAAAGACAGGCATACATTAAATGGTTACATTGTCTTTAAACATCAAAGTTCTGTACAAGATGCCCTTAAAAGGTACAATGTAATTGTAATAATAAACATCCAGGGAGAGTAGGGAAGWGCACCTGTTCTTCCTGGTAAAAAAGACAAAAACGTCTGTTTCTGTTGGAGTAACCTACAATAACTCTACGATTGKTACCGCAATCTCRGAGTTAAAAATAGCTTACTCCTCATAAATGACTAGACTTTATTTATCAATAATGTGAACTTTGTTTTGCAGCAATGGTCAAGAAGTGGAAGGCATGCATATGAGAGTTGACATAGCAAAAAATAYTAAGGTAAATACAATTGTTTCTTAAACATTCTTATATCAAAATAGCATAACTTGGCTCTTATTAATTTTTGGACACAAGTAACTTCAAAAAATGTCTTGTCTTTGTAGATACACAATCACTCTAGATCTGTATTTGTTGGTAATCTACCATTTGGTAAGTATCATAAAAATTTGATATTTTGCAAAAGTATTTTTATAATGTAACCCAATATTATTGTGGAATCCAATTCTTACAATCATTAATGGTTGATATAAAATGTGTTTTACTTAGGAACTGAGGAAGAGCCATTACGAGAACTGTTTAAAGATTGTGGTGAAATTGAGTCTGTCAGACTTATAAGAGATAGTAAAACTGGCATTGGAAAGGGTTTTGGATTTGTATTATTTAAGGTYAATTACAATGAACCAAGAAACATCTTTTTAAATTATTACATARTGAACAGTTTTGTTACTTGTTTWCTTTTCTTTATTACTCATTTACATTTYTATTTATTTGTTGTAGCTTAGTA